CGGCAGGCCGGCTCTGGCTGCAAAGTTTCTCTCTCCCTGCTGTATCGAGAAGATCGATGGTGAAAGAACACGGCCGCCTGTTGCTCCGCCGCCGGAAAACGTGCCCAAGAAAGCCCTTCAGACGCTGGTCTGCGTCCTGGGCCCCGCCGATCCCGCCTGGTCCTTGAAGGTTTCCTACTCGCCCTAATGCCGCTCTGCTGTAGGTGGCACTTTTCGCCTTCTCCTGAGCACTGTCCAATGAGGACAGCCAGTCCAGCCTCCTGTAGGAGAGACGGGACCTGCCCAAGGTCACAGTGAAATGGGGGTAGAACCCAGCTTGGCCGCCTCTTAATCCAGGGCTTCCCACTGTCCCGGCTGATTGACCACGCCAGTTATCAGGTTGAGATTCTGCCTTGAAGTCCTCGCTGTCCACCGCTTCCCATTTCTTTGCAGCCCACCACCACCACCGCCACCACCACCACAGCATCCAGAGCCTTGAGCCCCCGCGGCTTCTGCCTCCCCACCCCCCACTCTGTCACTGAGGCCTGCCTGTCATTCCCACACAACATCCCACACCCTCCAGTCTCTTCCAGACTTTCAGTCACAGCTTTCAGGCACTCACATGCCGGAACCATTGCAACAGCTTCCATTAGCAGCAGCACCATCCTGCACACTGCCAGTTATTGAGCACCATCTCTGACCTGGGGACTGGATTTAAAAAGTATTCTAGAGAGAGGGTTGACTAGGCCGAGCACAGAGGATTTTTAGGGCAGTGAAACTACAATACTCTAGCAATAGATAGATACGTGGCATTATACATTCATCCAAGCCCATGGAATGTACACCACCACTATAAACTTCGGCGGACATCCGAAATGGACTTCGGATGATGATGATGTGTCGGTGTAGTTCATCAGTTGTACCAAATGTACCCTCTGGTGAGGGATGTTGATTGTGGGTGAGGCTGAAGGAATGGGGGAAAGGGGCTATGTGGGAACTCTCTGTACTTACTGATCACTTTTGCTCTGAACCTTAAACTGCCCTAAAAAACAAAGTCTGTTAAAAATAAACTCTGCTGTCTGTGTCACCGACAGTACTCTTTTTTTTTCTTTAATGAGTTGGTATAAAACTGAATATGTTAGAATAGATCACACAAAGATAAATACAGTTTGGTGAAACTTCTTTTTACAAATTTTATTTTGTTTCCATTAAAAATCAGCCTAAGAAATTGACTCAGAAAGGTTGAGTGAAAAGAACACTTATTATAGGCACACCATGAGCTAAGCGCTTTCTGAATGCTTTGCACTTGTCTCATTGACTCCCCACAGCACCTCTCAGAGGAAACAAGGTATCAGGTAACTGCCAAGATCACTCAGCCAGCAGATGGCACAGTTGGGGTCGGAACCCTGATAGTCTGCTGTCACAGCCCACGGGCTTCGCCTCCCATGTCCTGGTCACACAACTGGAGTGGTGGAGCTGGGATTTGACCCCAGGCAGATTTTCTGTCCAGTATAGTGCAGCACACCACAGACACACACCCCATATTCATCTTCCAGTCCTCACTCATGTTACTTCCCTTCTCAGTTGTCTTCAGTACAACTAGGGTCAAATTCAAATTGCATCTTACTCTAAGCATAATGGATTTAAAAATGCCCATTTATTCAATATTTATTGAGTTCTAATGGCAAGTGCGTGTGTACACACACATACCCTACTCTGCTTAGGGGCAGGGTTCATACTCTCGTGGACAATATATTATGTATAGCTAATAATTAGTTTGCAGTCATCACTGTACCAGAGGGGTACAGGGAAGGAGCGGTGGTTCCTGAATTTTCCTACAGAGGGCGCCAAGGAGTATCCTCAGGTTTAGAAGCTTGAGAAGAGGTTGGAAGAGGGAGAAGTTGCCTTTGCTTAGAAGCACAGTGTTTTTTGGCTTAGGTGTATATTTGGGTGATGGCAATCCCTCAGGCAGGTAGAGCTCCCTCCCCCTCCCAACCAGCCATCCCCGATATGGTCAGTAGGTCCAAGGTGCTGCAGGAGCCCAGGAGTTCACAGGCATATCTCCGGCTCGCCAGCACTTGGAGACCTTGCCTGGTTTGCCTGCCTCACCTGGGGGAGAGCAGCCTGCTCAGAGGAAGGCACGTGGTTGGTAGCCCCAAACATGCTGGGTGAAGCTGGAAACAGACCACTCAGAGCCTAGAGGGACCTGTGCAGAGTATGGACTCTAAGTCAGTTGTTCAGACCTCAGGTGACCGCTCAATAGTTGGCCGGTTGTGCAATCCATGTATTGAGTATGGAGCAGCATTTTTATTGAGATAGTATAGAATGTAAGACATCAGAATACATCAGACATGGTAAAAATAAGTATGGCTTTAATCTCTTCACAGTAACCAGAGGTTGACTCCAGCTCCAGCATGTCCATTTGGCAAATCCCAGACCCTTACAAGGAAGAAGACTGGTCCTGATCAAAGTGGGAAAGGAGAGGAGGCAGATGCAAAATACAGCAGAGAAATTGTCCTCAAACAGCCCAGAGCAGAGCAGGAGACTGCTGACAACAGCAACGTGAGAGAGAGATAGTTGTGTGTCACAGGTCCAGGCTAGAGAGGCATTTGAACTTGGAGGGCTGGTAACCAAAAAAAAAAAAAAAGGCAAAAGGCAGGCAGGAAGACTCCTGCTGGAGGCCTGAGACCAGTCTGAAGCCAGAAGGCAGAGGAGGAAAGGTGAGAGACAGGCAACACAAAATCCCTCTCTGGGAGGAACAGCCCAGCATCACCGAGAGAGGGGAGCTGGCTGGCAGTCACTTGCCCCTCCAAACCTGCATGCCCCATGCCTGAGACTCCTACACTCCTTCTCAAACCCTCAAAAGCCTCAGAGCCTTGGCTACTGACACGCCTGAGCCCCAGGCGCCCTCCCTCTCTTATTCCTCCAAACCTCACTCATTCTCCCCAGCCGCCTCCACTCACCTGGCCAGAGCAGCACTTAGAGTTCAGGTCTGTGGATTCCTCTTGATCCAGTGCTCTCCCCAGGCCCATATCATCTCCTCTGCTATGGACTGAACTGTGTCCCCCCAAAAGTCATGTGTTGAAGTCATAACCCTCAATGTATTTGCAGATAGGGATTTTAAGGAGATAACTGAGGTTAAATGAATTGAGGCGCTAATCAAATAAAATTAGCGTTCTTCTAAGAAGAGACACTAGAGATCTTTGCCTCGCTCTGCACATACTCACCGAGGAAAGGCCCTCTGAAGACACAGCAAGAAGGGAGCCTTCTACAAGCCGGGAAGAGAGGAGTCACCAGAAACCCTAACAGGACTTGGATTTTGGACTTCCAGCTGCCAGGATTATTTCCTTACGGCAGCCTGAGCAGACTAAGACATCTTCCTTCCTCCCTCACACCTGCCAAGTCTTCCCTAGACCTCCCCCTCCTCCAAGGCTCTGGACACAGCCTTTCATCATCCGACCCCTAGACCCTGTCTGAATTTTGTGAAGGCTTAGACTGGGATACCATAGGTTAAAAAAAATACTAATTTGCACCTTCTCACTGAAGGTCATTGATGCATAGAAATTTGAG